CCGCCGCCCTGGCCGAGGTGGCCAACGGCATCGAGAGCACCCCCGTGGTGAGTGGGGGGCTTCACCCGAAACCCCCAAAATCCTCTGATTCACCCCGAAACCCCCAAAATGCTCAGATTCACCCCGAAACCCCCAAAATCCTCAGATTCACCCCGAAACCCCCAAAATCCTCAAATTCACCTCTTAAAATCCCCCCAAAATCCTCAAATTCACCTCAAAATCATCCCAAAATCTCCACTAATCCACCTCAAAATCCACCCAAAATCCTCAGATTCACCCCGAAATCCACCCAAAATGCTCAGATTCACCCCGAAACCCCCAAAATGCTCAGATTCACCCCGAAACCCCCAAAATGCTCAGATTCACCCCGAAACCCCCAAAATGCTCAGATTCACCCCGAAATCCACCCAAAATCCTCAGATTCACCCGAAAATCCACCCAAAATCCTCAGATTCACCCAGAAATCCACCCAAAATGCTCAGATTCACCCCGAAATCCACCCAAAATGCTCAGATTCACCCCAAAACCCCCAAAATGCTCAGATTCACCCGGAAACCCCCAAAATGCTCAGATTCACCCGGAAACCCACCCAAAATCCTCAGATTCACCCAGAAACCCCCAAAATGCTCAGATTCACCTCAAAATCACCCCAAAATCTTCACTAATCCACCTCAAAATCCACCCAAAATCCTCAGATTCACCCCGAAATCCACCCAAAATCCTCAGATTCTCCCCGAAACCCCCAAAAGCCTCAGATTCACCCCGAAACCCCCAAAATGCTCAGATTCACCTCAAAATCACCCCAAAATCTCCACTAATCCACCTCAAAATCCACCCAAAATCCTCAGATTCACCCCGAAACCCCCAAAATGCTCAGATTCACCCGGAAACCCCCAAAATGCTCAGATTCACCCCAAAACCCCCAAAATGCTCAGATTCACCCAGAAATCCACCCAAAATCCTCAGATTCACCCCGAAACCCCCAAAATCCTCAGATTCACCCGGAAATCCACCCAAAATCCTCACAAATTCATCTCAAAATCACCCCAAAATCTTCACTAATCCACCTCAAAATCCACCCAAAATCCTCAGATTCACCCCGAAACC